AGAAGTCTGCAGCAGGATTCCTTCTGCCTGTGCTGACAGTTGGGGAGAGGACACTAACTGGTTGTGGGGTCCCAATGTGATGGGAGGCTGGAGAGAAAATGCCACAAAAAATGGCTTTGGACACTAACTGGTTGTGGGGTTCCAATGCGATGGGAGGCTGGAGAGAAAACGCCACAAAAAATGGCTTTCACCCCAGATGGCTCACTTGATTTTTGACAACCCTTAGGCTGTAACTACTTGTTATATCCTTCTTGCATATCTCTGTCTTCCTGAGAAACCACTTCTAAGATACCAACATGTATTACAGCAGCCATTGATATTTTCCTACGAATCTATCCATAACTCTGTAATGTTTGTATTGTTCCTATCCTATTTCATAAATGGATACACGTTTATTATTATGTGTTTCCTACAACAACCATTGAGAATAGCTAATGATGATTCAATAGGTCACTCATGTATAGTTCTATTCATTTTCTTTTGAAGATACCTAAGTAGAGCACAACAATTATTGATAATCTCCTACCTTTTTTGTCTGTAACTCACTATTATTTGTCTATTTGTTTTCCTGAGAAACTATCTTGTAGATAACAATATGTAAAATAATAACCATTGATAATTTCCTACCACTTTGTCCATAATTTGGTAAGCCCCCCTCCCATTATTGTTATCCTTCTTTTACTCTTTGAAATTAAAAAAAAAAAAAAAAAAAGAGCAGTCACTTAAAGTTCATGCAAGCTGTAGTTGACCTCCACTTTTCAGCCCAGTACCCTTGGTTAGTTATCAACTCATTTAAAGTGGAACAAACTCATAGAATGGGAAGAGAATGAACAGGACAAACTGGGAAATGGGCTAAAAGTTAAACTGCAATGGTCATTTGGAATTCAGCTGTCTGACCTTCTGGGAAAAGTAAACTTTGTGATAATTGTGTGACATTCTTGTAAGACTCCCAAAAATGAGGTAATGGTTACTATGGAAATCTAAAATGTACTTAAACCGAAGGGGAGACCCAGATCACGGCCGACATCTTCTCTGGCTCCTGATGAGACACTGTCCGTCAGCCGGCTCAATAAAGCTTTGTTTATTCCTGCTCTTTTGGTCTCTTGTGAATGCCATTCTCAATGAATTCACTTGCTGTATCACCACAAGATGCAGACAGGCACAATTCAGCATGATAAAGATAGCTCAGAAAATATAACCTGATCAGGTATCCATCTGAGAACTTAAACAGACGCTCAATCTTATTCTTCTATACAAATTAGTGCTTTACTTGATATTTACAACTGTGACTTTGTGTGTGTGTGTGTGTGTGTGTGTGTGTGTGTTACCCTCTTTCTATTTTTTATTTTGAGATGGGGTCTCACTAAACCACTAATTTCTCCAGGCTGGGCTCAAACATAGAATCCTCTTACTTCTGCTTCCTCCAGTGGTGAGATTATAGGCTTGTGCCACCACAGCCAGCTAACTCTAACCTTCTTATTCTACCTTCTAGGATTAATATTTGCCCTTGGAAATATTATTCATAAAATATTTTGTAAGGTAGATGTAATACTGGAGATTATTACTATTTTAGGTGGAAATACCCTCAAAATAACTTATTTCTGAACATCTATCATTGTTGCCCTGGTAATAATACTTAAGTGACAGTTCTGTAATCATAAAGGTTTCAAATACCCGAGGTTTTCAAATAAGAAAGGAGATGAGAACACTTCTTTCTTCTCTCTACATATTTTTTGGTTTTTCTTCGGTACTGGGAACCAAACTCACAACCTTGCACTTGCCAGGCAGGCACTTTTGCCACTGAGCTAAATCCCCAGCCCTCTTCTCTCTACATATTCAAGATTACAATAAAACCCATCTCTGGGCTGGATTTCTTTTTCAAACTAAGAATTAGCCTTCAGCCCATTTACCTTACCAATTATTGTGATTTTTATTCTACAGAAACAAAACCAGGCACATAAGCTCACATGGAAAAAATTTTTGAATAAAAATACACCAAAATATAGTAATATGATATTTTATTTTATTTTATTTTATTTTATTTTATTTTTGTCTTTTCTTGCTATGCAGTTCAGGCTGGCCTTGAGTTCACTTCATAGCCCAGGTTGGTCTCAAACTTACAATGATCCTCCTGCCTCAGCCTCTCAAGTGCTGGGATTAGAGGTGTGCGCCACCACACCCAGCTCAGACATGTAATTTTAACTTCTTTCTCTATCTGTCTTTTTTTTTGGTTTTTCTCTGGCACTGGGAACCGAACTCACGACCTTGCGCTTGCCAGGCAGGCGCTTTGCCGCTGAACTAAATCCCTCAAGGCCAGCCTGAACCGCATAGTGAGACCCTGTCTCAAAAAGACAGCCCCTCTATCTGTCTTTTAGACCACTAAATTTTTTTTGTGCCAGGCCTGCATTAATTGCATAATAAGAAACACAAAGACATATCTAAATATTAAAAAAATTGTGTGATGGGGAGGCATATGTTTCAGTCATTAAGAGAACAGGACTAACATAGAAAATCAGCTGGGCCTGAAACACAGTATTCCTACCAGCTCTGGATCATGCTGTAGCTGTCACTCAGAAATACAATGAGACATCTTCACTGTCAAGATTCTCCTTTGGTCAACATGATGGCCAGGAAGCTACAGTCTAAGTCTGAGGGAAGAAAATATATGCATGAACAGGACAGTATTTGGTACACAGCAGATGCTCAGTAAGTGTAGCTGCCCATCTCCATTTCTTCACTGAATGACCAATTAAAACAACATGGTTGTCAGGTGTGGTAGTGCACGCCTGTAATCCCATGAGGCAGGAGGATCCTTGCAAGTTCGAGACCAGCCTGGGCTACAAAGTGAGCTCAAGGCCAGCCTGAACCGCATAGTGAGACCCTGTCTCAAAAAGACAAAACAAAACAAAACAACACTTTGGATACACTCATTCAAAAATGTTTCAAAACCCTGCATAATTGGGTGGGATTCACATATAACATTTTCTTGCCTACTTTTGTACTTAACTATAATGATTACTTAATATTATGCCATTTCAATTTCCCTTCATTTGATTCTTTTTTTCTTTTTTTTTTTTTGGTTTTTCTCCGGTACCGGGAACCGAACTCATGACCTTGCGCTTGCCAGGCAGGCGCTTTTGCCACTGAGCTAAACCCCCAGTCCCCTTCATTTGATTCTTTATAGGGGCTGGGGATTTAGCTCAGCGGCAAAGCACCTGCCTGGTAAGCGCAAGGTTGTGAGTTCGGTTCCCGGTACCAGAGAAAAACCAAAAACCCCCCCAAAAAAAACAAAAAAACAAAAAGAGTATGATTCTTTATAAAAATAATTTTACTAGGTGTACATTATTCCATCACAAGATACACTCAAATTTAATATTTCCATATTTCTGGACATGAATTTTGTATTACACTCTTTGTTCTAAACCAATACAGCTAGATCTTGTTCAAGTGCATTTGACAATCATAAGAAGCTACTACTCTAAAAGCCGGGCATCTATAATCCCAACACTCAGGAGGCTGAGGCAGGAGGACTGTTGTGAGTTCGACACCAGCCTGGGCTACAAAATGAGCTCAAGGCCAGCCTGAACTGCATAGCAAGATC